GGGAGGCAGTGAAGGACAGGAAGGCCTGGCGCAATATGGTTCATGGGGTCACGAAGAGTCGGACACGACTTAACGACTAAACAACAACAACAACAAGGATTGGAGGGGACTTGAGGGACAGAAGTAAAGGGTTGGAGGAGTCCACATGCAGTCCTGGAACCTCAACGATATCTTAATATGATTTTGTAATTAGTTATTTTCTGATGAAATCTTTTGCATGTGGGTTGAGAAGTATTTTTGCAGAGTCAGCTAAGAGAAGGTCCTGTGATTCTCATACGTTGGATCAGTTTCAGTATATGATTCCTGAGGGTGTAGGGACTGCTTGGGTTGGACTAGCTCGCCACCCATTCCTTGGATCTATGCCTGACACGGGTGATATCATTGTGCAAGGAGTTGTGAGAATTGGCTTAGAAGACAACATTAATGCATCACTGAGAGACAGCAGGATATCTCCTTGTTTAAAGGAGACAATGGTTAGACATCTCTGAAGAGGCCTTCTATAGATCCCTTGGTAATCTCCCATGGTTGGGAAAGGTGCTAGGGAAGATAATGGCTAATCAACTTCAAGAGTTCTTGGAGGAAATATCTAGACTCACTTCAGACCAGCTTTACAGTGGGTCTATGAAATTGAGAAGCCATTCTCTGACCTCATAGATGACCTTCACCAAGTGACTGATAGAGACAGGGTGACTATGTTGGTTGTTTTGGACTCCTTAGCAACTTTCAATAACCTTGCCATGATACTTTTCTGGATCACTTGAGAGAAGCAGGAATGCATTGCAATGATTCCATTCTCTTCTGTCATGGAGATCTCAAATGGTAGTGCTTGGTGGCAGCTGCTCCTCAAAACAGGGGCTCTTATATGGAGTCTCTCACGGCTCCATTGCGTTTCCAATGCTTTTTGACATTGGGTGAAGCCATCAAGAATTTTTGTTCTGGATGACCATCTCTATTTGCCCATGTCACCTTTCTCAGGTAATAGCTTTGTCTCTCTAAATGGCCATCTACAAGCAGTAATAGGATTGATGAAAGGTAATAATTGAAACTGAATCTAAGAAAGTTGAAGATGCTCATTATGAAGGGTCATGATCTGGAGGCTGGGATGGATTCTCTTTTTCTGGGTGGGTTATATGCCCCAGAAAGAACAGGTATGCAGTCTGAGAAAGCTTTTGAGACTGACTTTTTCATCAACCATGACTCTGTCATCAACCTCAGCTATGTCTATTCCATGAAGAAAATTACCTCAGGAGATGATATGTTCCAGACAAGTTTTACTGTATGTTATTGCAGCATGTGCTATTACTGCCACATAGCCTATAGACGGCTGCCTTTGCATGTAGTTCGGAAAATTCAGTTCAAAACATGATAGCTAGATTGATTTCTAGAGCAACTTGTGGAAACTGTATTATCATTCCTGTTCTTCAACTGTTACCTCGGCTGTCCAGAGGCTTTTGGGCAAAATATGAAGTGCTAGTTACTACCTTTCAAGTCCTAGATAGCTTAGACTTAGTTTACCTGAG